AAAAAAAAAAAAAAAAAAAAAACATGCTGTTTCACGAGCTAGCAAAAAGAACTGCTTAAAATACTTAAAACAAGATTTTAAAATAACTGATATATTTATTGTATAAGTATGTATATATTTATTGCTATAAATTTGAGCAAACTAAAGGTGCAGAAATTATTTTGTATGACAGTATACCAGGGACCATACCTTCATTTTACATTGAAGCCTGTGGTCTCCCTAAAAAAAACAAATTGTTGGGTATACAAATACCCAACAATTTCAAGTCTTATAACTTAAACTCCATATTATTATAAAATCCTAGGCCGTACAACCCAAAAGTCTAGAATATAAAAAATGAAAACATAGAAGTGGTTGTTATTATTGTTTGAAGAAGGGGAGGTAGAGTATAATTATGACAATGTTACACCAAAAGTTAGGAGACCTGGGTTCTAGTCTCAAGTCCAACATAAATTAATCATGAGGTTTTAAATAGGTCATTTGATTTTTCTAGGGCTCAGTTTCCTAATCCATAAAACAAGAAGTTCTCTTAATTACTTCCAGCTTTAACTTTCTATGAAAAATCCACATTTTACTTTTAAGTTCTAAAATATGTATTTCTTATAATTATAATAATGCAAGTAAATTATAAATTTCTTCTATTCTAACATAAAACTCACCAGAAGTAAGATCTTTGTAGTTTTGTTGGTTTGTCAAAACCTGAGTAAGAACAGACCGCATTGCTCCTCCCATTTTAGTTAGGTCTTCTAAAAAGGAAATTTGAGGTTCCAAAAGCTGAAGGACTTTGTTAAGGTCTTTTTCTGATGGTACATCAGCTGCTAAAAAAAACAAAAACAACAAATCATTAAGGGCAATTTTCTTTAAAATATTTTGTTAAGAATAATAGTATTTTATTCTTTTAAAATTATACTGGCTTAGATGATAGTATTTTATAATCAATAAAATCAATATAAGAACTCTGTTAAGAAAACTGGTATTTGCCCAGCACCCAGCCTACAGTAGACCTGCTCAGGGATTTAGTCCTCTGAAGAAAAAGTAGATACAAAAAAAGAGATGACCTCCTAAGATATCAAGGATTTAATTTGTATAAGAAGCATTTGATCTGAGGGTCCTACACTTCCACATATATAAATGCAATCATAAGATCATTTCAAAATAAGGTAGTATTTAAGACAAAGTTAAGACTATGCCCTAAAATAAAACAAGACAGAATTCAAATACACTGACAGTAATGTAAGAATATTAGGACAAAATTATGTCAACTCTAAATTTAAACCTATATAGTAAATAACCCATCCCCTATAATATTCCAAAAATATAGACTCATGTTAGCTGAAGGACAAAAGCAACTAAAATGAAAGATAACTGTTTTCATAAATATGAAAATCTTACTAAAAAAATACCAGGTAAGATATGCCTAGTAGAGCTGGAGGGAGAGATAGGAAACTTAGATAGCAACTGAGAAAGAATATTAAAGATGAACAGAAGAGATGTTTTAGAGAGGTCCAAAAGGAAGGAAGTGAATAGAGAGATTTAGAGCTTAGCCATAATTGGTCAAAAAAAAAGAATATCTGTAAGGGAGCTAACAGTGGGCCTATAAGCCAAGGTAAGGGGACATCAATTTCATTCAATATTTATTCAGCATCTAAAAACCTTACTTTCTCAGTGGAAAGCTAATGCTGTATATTATTCTTCTTTATATTCTCCCCAATGACTTATATTGTAACATAGTAGATATTTAATTAATGTTTGTTTTTGGTTTCCAAGGGCTCTGACATGAGCTCTAACACTGACCTAAGGACTGTAGGGTGAAATAAGAAAGAGATCTCAAAGCAACTTTGAAAGCGGCCGGGCACGGTGGCTCACGCCTGTAATCCTAGCTCTCTGGGAGGCCAAGGCGGGCGGATTGTTTGAGCTCAGGAGTTCGAAACCAGCCTGAGCAAGAG